ACAATACTGCTGACACTTTTTAAACACTTTGACCGAATGACAGACAGATATCAAGGTTTACAGATATGGTAAAGCGTCTTGCGTGTCATCGTATCCATGTCCCCTTGAAATGTTGTTTACATTCCAAATAGTGTAAGGTAATGGACGTAGTTGTTCGTGTTATGTACTCCGTGTAAAAATGTTTAACCTTCATCCAACATTTCTGTTTGCATGTTTTGCGCGCAGTAGTATGCCGTTGCTTCAAACAGATTACTTAAAACACGGTTATGTCATCATCCTTTGTTCTCATTGTACATTAGATAGTAGAATGTTCAATGAAGTACCTGTAGCTGTCTATTATTGTGTAATAATGGACAGCTAATGGCCTAATAATGGACATCTACAGGTAACAAAAATAATTCTAAGCACCAGCAAATTTTCAAAGAAATTCCACTATTTATTAACAACATATGACTTTACTATATATATGTTGATATAAATATGATAAAAAGAACACTAACATGTAATCCATTGATACACCACAGATCGCTATAATTGATCCAGAAATAATCCAGCTGCCCATATCACTGTTCAATTGTATTGAGGAGAAAAGTCTTTAAGAATAAATTAATCCAACAGAATACTGTAGAAATTACTTGAAGTGGGAAAACAGTTATCCAATAATGATTTAAAATATGAATATTGATAGAATAGAAAAACGCAAATCTTGATTCGGGAATAATCCAACAGATCCTCACACACAATAATCCATTAGACATTTCCTGAAATAATTTTAAACAGCCACCAGTAAAGGTTTAGGTGATATTTGAGGTTTGAATTGATTTTCCCTCTGCTTCAGATTTCTTTCTATTTTTTTTTCCTATTCGGGGATGCAATTTCAGTGCCGCTTTAGTGAACATTCACTTTTGTTCTCTGTTCAATGTGTTGTGTTAATTAACATGTCTTTACATTTAAATTCTTCCAGAATGATATTGTCGTCTCCTGAGAATCACATGTTCTCACTTCAAATGCAAAAGGATGCGCTGTATCAGTAGTTTGACATGGAAAGCATGTGCATTTCCAAATACAGTAACCCTACCTGTACCTGTCTAATAAGTTAACAATATGCATTCATGCATGGATGACCATAGCTCATGCTGCATACACACCAATGCCTGGTCATTGTTGACTTCATTACCTTACATTGTTCAGTAGCTGTCTGTTCTAACACAAAAGGTGTCCACTATTAATACACAGGGGTATGTGTTTACAGTAGGAGTAAAGCCTCAAACTGTCCATTCTGTGAGAGAATGAACGGATATCGGCCCTACGGTTTTCGGCCTTCAGTTTTATATTCATATTCTGCTGGATAAAATCGATCGGAAAAGACGGGGAAATGTTGGTAGTACTACATGATACCTCAACTATGTATATCGAACTGTTGTACTTTTACCTCCCCTGAATAAGATAAAGATCAAAGATTCCTTCGAGCATACATCATCAGTAACCTAGTCTGTGTGGATAACCTTTGCAACATAATACACTGTTGGCACTTCTTTTGATTTATTTCACATAAGATACTAAAAACAAAGTTGACCTTTATTCATCGGTATCTGTACGATTGTTGTTTTTCCGAAGATGGCCCAACCTCGAAATCCCAGGGGTTACATTCATTTGTATTTTCTGCAAGCCTGGAAAAATTCATGACAATGTCGAACGCACGCGGGAAAATCTATTTCATTGGTTCATTGGTTCATTGCAGGTGACACCGTTGTAAGTGTCTAGTCGCTTCTTGAGGTGCTTCTTAATACTGTCCACTTCACTTCCGGTTGCATTTGGAGGCATTTAAAGAGGATTTTATTTCTCAAAAACTAGTGAAAAAAGTGCAAAAAAAGTTACCAATCACATGCTGATACCCGTCCTTAAAAGACAACAGATGCCCGACATCCGACTTTAAAGCCGACTAATTTTACCTCTACTCTTTCGCATGATTTCTTTTATTTAAAAGATTAAATATCCGACTTGTCTGCTTGCATTTGCAGAAAGAGGTGGGTATGGAGCCTTCGATTTCGCCATTGCATACTCCAGTGGTGACTAGTACGTTAGAAAGCGTAACACACGATTGTTGAGGATGAAGTTGACTATACATGTATTTTGCTATTCGTACCTGCTAGTTCAACAGAATGTCGGCACCATCAAAAGGTCTGTTGATAGAAGGGCCAACAAGTGCTAGCAATGCTGAAACCTATATTTTATGTATAACATCTTTCAGACTATCGTTCTAAATGGTCAATAATACGTACAGACTATCATCTGGCGACTAGACTTAATGATGAAGCGTTGGTGAAGCACACCATGGGTAGTCCTTCTCCTTACGTATTCCGTCATTGTTTTTACAACATCAATACTACAATTAAATAGACACGAATAACACAGGACCCACATCCCCTCGTACAGCTACCAATATACAACGAGATGGCACCCATGCTGCTGAAACTGTTCCTCGTCAGTATGTGAACTCGACACTCTTACACGTCGATAGCTCCATGAGGATTAGATTCCTGTAAGGCTAAAATGATCAATGGTGCATGCAGGATGATAATGGCCATGGTGTTAAAACAACATCGACCCATGTAACATGTATAGGTATGCACAAACAAATTTAATTTAAATGTCTTATAATACCGTAGACGTAACTAAAAACAGAATAACAAAATACATTACTCTTTATTCGAACGAAACGCACAAGTAACAAAGACTGTTGTCTGTGTATGGATAGTTCATAGATCTGTTTAATGTTATGTAAATATTTGTATAAGAGGAATATCTTTGAAAATGCTTTAAAAATATTCTAGACGTCATATATCTATATTTACAATTGCATTAATCACTTATCTACTTCTCCTCTAGTGAAACATAAGGCTACAACAGCTCTTTGCGATGCTGGACAATCTTTTGCCAGCCCTTCTTTTGTACCCAATGTTAGTTCAAGCTTTATGAGTTCCACCTTGATGATTCTGCTCCAATTTGTGGTTGAGCTCCCTCTCTTGCGCTTCCGTGATGTGTCCACCGATGGGCTGTCTTTATGATGCTGTTAAGGGCATTATAAACCAACATCATTCTACTTAACTCTGATTAGCGATATTGCTATCATAATTAAAGAGCACTGTAATTATAAATGCAGCTGAAACGGATGATATATTATGTATTTTCCAACATTGTTTAGATAAATTGATTAAATTTTCGAAATAGATATATATGTTGTTTTGTTTCGTTCTTTTGTGAAATAATATACGAGGTGTATATCGATCGCTATTTTCACGGATGTTTTTGCTTAACATATAGCGATAAATGTGAATGTAAAGTCGACACACAGGTTATGTATTGACAGAAACTATAATACAAACACAGCCCTATATCTCAACACCTTCTTATTACTTCAAAAATAAACAATAACAGACGGCATCAACACTAAACGAAAATGAGATAGAATTGATGAATTTAATTTTCCAATAATTTCTTTTGAAATACCTGGCTTGTTAATTTAAAATACAAGGAACGAAATAGAATAATTTATTTATTAGGTTAGGTGTTTCCTGAAGCCCAAAAACCCTGCTGGATCCGCCACTGGAGGATGTAGGGAAAATGTGTGTCATCTAAGAATTTATCAAAGTCAAAATCAAATCACTTCGAGGTTAAATACACAGAACACGTATATTTTTGCACCATGTTGAAAAATAAATAATGCATTTAATCAGAAATATCTCTTTGATAATATAAGTACCGTATTAAATTCTTCTTTTACACCATATGATACTCCTATTTTAAATATTCGTGTAATTCGAAACGAATTAGCTCGACAGAGTGTATGACTTAACTATTGAAAGATTCTTTGAAGATTTGATTATCGGAAAATTTTAGAAAAGCATTTGTCTAAATATAGATCCCGAATCGTTGATAACGTAATGAAGGTATTTTTTTCAAACAAAATATGTAATACGTATGCTTCAAAATCTTTCAATTCAAACATTTAGAGGAATGTGATCAACGTTATAAATTACACATTATTCTGAAACAAATCATTTGCTTCATTTTCATCACGCAATTGTGTTGCTTATGACGTCTCTTCCTAGTCAATTTAACCAATAATAAGAAATATGCTGATGATATTTTTAATAAAATTAGAACTTCAATTATCCCGCAAGAATTTTGCCAACAATCATAGCACCTTCTGGTGTTTTTGTAAACATATTCATCAAAATAAAGAAAGAAAAGACATAGCGGTATTTCTCATATGTTTTATTTCACACAAAAGAATTCAACAGCCATTAAATAAAAACACACAGTGTTTGGAATATCGCATTACGAATTAAATACATTGGTCACATATTTACATATTTACATATCTTTGTCTATCATAAGGTAATCTTCCATAGCGGTTTAATACCGGTTCTATTCCGAGGTTTGCTGTTACAAACTTCCATCAAAAAGTAACTCTCTTAAACTCTGTATTCGTTTCTGTAAAAAAACGTGCTATTTGATTTATTAGACTAAAATGTTAATTTTGTACAAAAAAATATGAAAGTTAATATATACCATATCCTAATATTTGCAAATGTTGCATGGGCACCATAACAAAATCAACACTGACATGGCATTATAAACAGTAACAGTAAAAAGTAAACGATAAAATATACAGACCGGAAATGACTTCCAGATAATACTTTATAATAGCACATTGTATATAGCGGTATTCATACATTAAAAATTAGTATCCTTTCTTAAATCGTGTCTGGGTAAATAAATATACCTAACTAGAACTGTAAGCGCCAAAGGCTAACTAATACCCCCGCTCCTATATAAACCAGAACTGTAAGCTAAAGGCTTACTAATGCAAAGAAATATAGTCTCCCACCAGTAATGAGTAATTCACGATTTTATCAGAAACAAAAAAAATAAAAAAAATAAAAAATAAACAAGTATTTCACACAAAGGGGCATAACTCCATCAAAAAGGGTCGAAATCCCAAATTAAAATGCCGGTGCACAACTACATAAGATACCGATCATTCATGCAAAGTTTCAATGAAATCCACCTATTAGTTTAGGAGGAGTTGCGCGGACAAGTATTTCGCACAAAGGGGCATAACTCCATCAAAAAGGGTCGAAATCCCAAATTAAAATGCCGGTGCACAACTACATAAGATACCGATCATGCATGCAAAGTTTCAATGAAATCCACCTATGAGTTAAGGAGGAGTTCACCGGACAAGTTACTTTGGACGACGGACAGACATCCAGACAGACATCCAGACAGGGTGATTCCAGTATACCCCCCCCCCCCCTCCCCCTAACTTCGTTGCGGGGGTATACACAACTAGTGTGAGAAGGGAGATTATACAGGGATAATTATCAGTCTCTTCATTCCAGCTAATGCGTACACTAAACTAATTTTCACGATGTATACAGCGCTGGCAGGACATCCAAACCGAAGTCGGGTTAATAATGAAAAACAAAACAATGTAAGGTTTCGGGGATATGTAAAAAGAACAAACACGATAGGCTGTGTGGTAATATAGGATTGAAACAAATGTTGGTTATGAAATAAGAGAAAAATTCAAAACATATTGGCTACCACAAAACAAATAAATAGGTAGACTAGGAGGGGCAAACAAGCATTATCGGTTGTTAAGGTTGGGAAATACATACATAAACAAACTTTGATGTTGTTTAGCTAGGAATAAACAATCATTTTGGTTGATTTGAAATCAAGTTGAAATCATATTGTACAGTACTGTGGGGAAGGTGACGTCATACACAACAGCCATTCATGAGGTACAACGAGAAGTGATGAGCCGCTGATCCCACGTTGATATCTGTAAACAGAATAGACGTTTTTTTTTTTATATGATCCGGATTCGCGCTCATTTTTGCTAGGGAATGACATACAAATAATCCTTATATATTAAATTTTAACTGTATCAGTCGGCTGTGATCACCTTCACAATCAGACACTTCCAGAGACATCACATGTAGGACCTGCACTTTTTTTTACTTTGTTGAGCTGTCAGAGTTTATTTCATATTCTGGGATTATTATATGTGGCGGTAGGGTTTTACTATTGCCTCATGGGATTTCATTCAAAAAGGCAAAAGAGAGCTTTGATTATTCGAGAAATGATGTTATGTTTGACCCACGTGATCTTGCTGATTACTGGAGTTAGTCGGCCTCGAGAGACAGGCTGTAGATCTCGATACGACCATGGTTCCAGGCATACAGTTTCTCGTCGAGAGGATTGTAGTCCAGCATGTAGTTTTGGGCGTAGTTGGTACTGATGGAATTTTTAAATGGGAGAACTCCTGCTGCCAAAACCCGCTTACCGCCATTATTTGTATCGTAGATGAACCTGATGAACGTCGGGACCTTTTTGTACGAATCCACACAATACAGGACGCCACAGATCATGAATGCATTACCTACGTCCATCTTTGCAATGTCCGTTGTCCAGGACTGGAGGATGAGGAAATTCAGGTCGTCAATTTTGCTGATGACGATATGGCCTCTTGACGTCTGTGTCGCATAAATTACCCATAATCCAAGTTCATCCACGGCGAAATCTACATCGGTAAATATGCCCGACTCGTATGGGAACGTATTGTGGGAGCCGACTCCACCAGGGAGGGGCAGTTCGCCAACCCAACGCCCCTCCATTAAATTAAACTTGACGATCTTATTCGTCATCACTTTGTGACAGTACAGACAGTTTTTGAAGACCACGTGACCGGTACCCTCGCAGAAGAACGGCAGTGTGTGTTTCTTTGTAGCCGTGTCGAAGGTGAAGGACTGATGGGAGTCGAACTCGGCTATCTCATTGAGGTCACTGTAGCCGTAGGTCACCCATATCTGTCCCCCGGGTATAGGGTCCTTCATAAACGCTCCCTGTGCAATACCCACGGGCAACTCTTCGCCCCCGGGCAAAATTGCTGCCAGGTGTCTTGGACAGAAATCTGGAAAAAAGAAAAATATATTGTACAAAGAAGCAACAAATAAACATTGTTTAGTGTCAAACAGCCATTGTGTTGTGACATATATGATCAGCCATTATGTTGTGACATATTTGATCAGCCATTGTGTTGTGACATATATGATCAGCCATTGTGTTGTGACATATATGATCAGCCATTATGTTGTGACATATATGATCAGCCATTGTGTTGTAACATATATAATCAGCCATTGTGTTGTGACATATATGATCAGCCATGGTGTTGTGACATATATGATCAGCCATTGTGTTGTGACATATATATGATCATGTCAGGGGATTTTGATGGCTTGTCAATAGCTGTTCGTATACTTTGTCAGAATTCCCGATAGACTATCACGCTTTTTGATATGTAGTGATGTTTTGTCAACGTCTCACGGGCTGTATTACACGGTGATATACGACCACACTCGGGATATAGACGCGGCGCGCTCACGAACATGACACACTGCACTGTTACATTCCTATTTATCTAGTTATCTACTTGTCAAACGTCATGAATATTTTAGCACAAAATGTAAAGGGAAACTGTTAATGAACTGATATATATGTATATTTTGTAAAATATATACATGCGTATCTTATTTATCGAAATACATTTACATACAGGTCACTACCGAAATTGCGATACCGGATCACTTTCCTTACAAATGGGATTTTTTTCTCTGTCAGTTTCTATCCAAATACAGCTTTTTACGATACGATTTATGCCAGGTCATCCCAAGGTTATCATTTGATAGGGATTTTCATTTCGGTTTGTTTAGCTTTAAGGTAAACTTTGCAAAAGCGTGTCTGTGACATGGTAATGAAAAAAGTGCTAACTCCTATCGGTTACTGGCTTAGACCATTTATGTGTCATACATTTTTGACCACTCCCACCTCGAAACAGTAATATCCGTATCAATCTGTCACCCTTCAAGGAACCTGTACATCATGTCAACAAATGAAGATTTCCTTATTTGCTTCTTACTAAAGTCAATGATGTCGCGCTTATGTACAATTTTTATTATTTATTATATATTGAATTCATTACGTACTTAAATTCATCAATTTTACAAAATTATGTTCGCTTCATTATTGCTATACTTTACAAATCACGCAGAATTATCAATAAAATCAATAAAATACCAGGGTCAGTCAACCACTTATCATTGTCTGACAACTGCAGGTGCTCAACTACTGACTCTCGAGATTGCGATATTTGCCATGTAGATTCAACCTTAACAAACTTGCTGCTCGTAGACACCGTATTAATACAATTGAATTGTCTCCCTTTATTGCGTGTCTCATATCTTCTATTGCTCCATGATATGGAGTCGCATAACTTACTTTAACCCTTACACCACTGTAGACCATAATGGACTCATCCATATCAATGCATGGTAGAGTCTTCTAAAGTTACATAGGGGTGAAAGGGTTAACACAGAAAGAAAAGAGTCAACCGAATCCATAGTATTTGACGATAATTTATAAAAACAAGTGCCACGAAAGGTGCTACATTTCTTGCCCTGAATTCATTTTTTAAATTCATTCAGACTCAAACCTAGGTATCTGAAACATTTATTAACTTGTAAAGTGTTCTGATCGCATTTAAATAATGGCTCTTTTAAGAAAAATGTTACATATAAGTGAAAGAGGGAGACCCTGTCAAAACTTTATGTCACATTTTTTAACCAATATTAGAAAGTTTGTGTGAAATATTGTACAGCTACAGTAACGACAAATCTGACTTGGAAAAGTCTGAAAGAGAAGCTGCTAGAATGATTACTTGTTTTCTTTCCTCTGCCGGCAGTTTTTTTTGATTGAATTATGAAACGGATTTTTGAAAAAAAGAACAGCATAGAAGAAAGAAGTTAATTAAAGATGAAAAATGAGCTAAAACCATATCTTATTTAAGCCGTTGGTCAGAATAGCCCGTATCTTTTTAGAAATCAATATCATTTCACTAAACCAAATTACAGTTTGACAAGTACGATTTTCTCGTGTCTAAGCTCGACACTTCTTTAATGGAATGAACTAGATTTATTTGTTAGCACCAGTTTTCTCTTTGTTTGTTAACAAATCATTTGTTTTCTAATCAGAGATTTAACACCATGCCATTACAATTCATTTTACGAAGGAAAACTTATTATTAATTATATATAGTTCAGACATACGCGCAGTTCATTAAATGTTTATTTTTGTTTTCTTTTTCATTTAAAGAGTGTGGCTATGTATGTGAAAAATGCTTATTTATTTTTAAACAAGATAACTATATGCAAGGATAAACAATGTTAACCTAATTTCCAATACAATGTCTTAAACGACAACATTCTATAAGTACTCAAAAAAATGTATACAAAAAAAGAATGCTATTAATTTATCAACGTCGATAGGTATTACGATTCTAACATAACGTCGATAGGTATCACGATTCTAACATAACGTCGATATTGATAGACTACAGGTACTGCATTACATTTCGGTTACTGATATACAAGTCACAATTATAATCATATCAAATGAAATTAATTTGATTATTATCAAGATATCTTTTACAGAGTTTTTTTTGATAAACTTTACAGGATAAAGTGCGTAGCTACTGACCATCTCTTAGAGCAGGATACCTTTTGTTTTTATTGTTAACGACTTAGCTATCAAATCATTTCTGATTTGACTTGGGTAGGGGACGCATCATATACATTATCAGTAACATAACAAAACCTCTTTTACAACAAGAACAGCTACCTAAATATCAACTCGAATTTCATCCCAATGCTTCTGCCGACATCATAAAACTATAAGCAATGTGCACGGACATCTCAAAAACACTTACCGTCTGATTTATTTGCGTGTGGTCAGTATATATATAAACAAGTGACAAGAGTTTCTAAGTACTTCCCTAGCGCTTTCACCTCTTTTGAGGTTCATCAGAGGAACTGATATATAATATATATACATAAAACAAGTGACAAGAGTTTCTAAGTACCTTCCTAGCGCTTTCACCTCTTTTGAGGTTCATCAGAGGAACTGATATATAATATATATACATAAAACAAGTTACAAGAGTATCTTAGTACCTCCCTAAGGCTTTCACCTCTTTTGAGGTTCACCAGAGAACTGTTTAACATATACAATGTTGAGGTTATACTATGGTTAAACATGAATTGACTGTGATACTCTCAGTCACGAATCATTATGCTAATACTGTAGGAAAGTCAGCGATTTGAAGTAATTGCGTCTGAAATAAATGTTGGCAAATAACCAATATAATCTTCTATATGGCCTCTGAGTTATATAACAGTGTTAAATACTTAACTATGTATATATCATAAACTTGTGTAGTATGTGATATTATACACTTGTGTAGTATGGGATATCATAAACTTATTATACACTTGTGTAGTATGTGATATTATAAACTTGTGATATTATACACTTGTGTAGTATGTGATATTATAAACTTGTGATATTATACACTTGTGTAGTATGTGATATTATACACCTGTGTAGTATGTGATATTATTCCCTTGTGTAGTATGTGATATTATACACTTGTGTAGGATGTGATATTATACACTTGTGTAGTATGTGATATTATACACCTGTGTAGTATGTGATATTATTCCCTTGTGTAGTATGTGATATTATACACTTGTGTAATATGTAATATAATACACTTGTGTAGTATGTGATATTATACACTTTTGTAGTATGTGATATTATACACTTGTGTAGTATGTGATAGTATACACTTGTGTAGCATGGGATATCATAAACTTATTATACACTTGTGTAGTATGTGATATTATACACTTGTGTTGTATGTGATATTATAAACTTGTGTAGTATGTGAAATTATACACCTGTGTATTATGTGATATTATACACCTGTGTAGTATGTGATATTATTCCCTTGTGTAGTATGTGATATTATACACTTGTGTAATATGTAATATAATACACTTGTGTAGTATGTGATATTATACACTTGTGTATTATGTGATATTATACACCTGTGTAGGATGTGATATTATACACTTGTGTAGTATGTGATAGTATACACTTGGGTAGTATGTGATAGTATACACTTGTGTAGTATATGATATCATAAACTTTTTATACACTTGTGTAGTATGTGATATTATACACTTTTGTAGTATGTGATATTATACACTTGTGTAGTATGTGATATCATCAACTTGTATAGTATGTGATATTATACACTTGTGTAGTATGTGATAGTATACACTTGTGTAGTATGGGATATCATAAACTTATTATACACTTGTGTAGTATGTGATATTATACACTTTTGTAGTATGTGATATTATACACTTGTGTAGTATGTGATATTATAAACTTGTGATATTATACACTTGTGTAGTATGTGATATCCTAAACTTGTGTAGTATGGGATATCATAAACTTGTGTAGTATGTGATATTATACATTTGTGTATTATGTGATATTATACACCTGTGTAGAATGTGATATTATACACTTGTGTAGTATGTGATAGTATACACTTGTGTAGTATGGGATATCATAAACTTATTATACACTTGTGTAGTATGTGATATTATACACCTGTGTAGTATGTGATATTATTCCCTTGTGTAGTATGTGATATTATACACTTGTGTATTATGTGATATTATACACTTGTGTAGTATGTGATATTATACACTTGTGTTGTATGTGATATTATAAACTTGTGTAGTATGTGAAATTATACACCTGTGTATTATGTGATATTATACACCTGTGTAGTATGTGATATTATACACCTGTGTAGTATGTGATATTATACACTTGTGTAGTATGTGATATCCTAAACTTGTGTAGTATGTGATATGAAAAACTTGTGTAGTATGTGATATTATACACTTGTGTAGTATGGATATTATAAACTTGTGTAGTATGTGATAGTATACACTTGTGTAGTATGGGATATCATAAACTTATTATACACTTGTGTAG